CCATAATTATATGGCACAAAGGGAGGATTGTGGGAAGTCAGCCCCCCACCCCAGAGAAAGAAATATTTTGGGGAATATTAAAGAAAGCAGAATATATTTTCCCAAAGGAATAATAGAAGATCTTAGGCAGAAACCACCCCCACTCCCCCAAGTCTCTCTGCCCCAAGCAGAGGCCAGGTCTGTAGAAATGCAGATTTGATAATCCTTTAAGAAAGACTGGAGCCAGAAAGCTTAGAGCTGACAGGATTAGAAAGACAAAGATCCCTAGAATCAACAACCCCTCACCCAAAAAAATTCAACACAGGACATAGCCATCAGCCACAGCCCCAGGGAAGCAGGACATGACCTTTAGGACATAATAGGATTAACTCACCACCATTCAAATACCAGAAGGGCACACTGAGCATCAGGTCAAAGTTCATACCATAGGAACAACTCCAAATACAAAGCCCAAGAAGGTATAGAAATCCACCACTCCCTGCTCCATGTGGTCAGCTTTCCCAGAGCCACATTTCTGTCTGGCTCTGCTCTTCAATAAACTACAACCTTCTTTCTAAAGCAGTCTTTATTTTGTTTATTCCCGGCTTGGACTGGACCCTGATGAAAAAAAAAATTCAACAGTTCCCAAGTGGCAAATTTTGGGTATATCATGTTTCTTATTTGGAGACAGAAAAGTAGCTGAAGGAACATAGCAAGAAATAAGTTTAATAAAAAGAGAAGTGCAAATGCCAAACTCTGAAGAAGAACATATCACAAAAAAGATTATACAAGAGAAATGGATCTGGTATACAATGTGGGATGTAAAAACCTCTTTTTGTAAGTCTTTGATCAAAACTCAATAATTATTTCTGAAGTATTTGATATATTTAGAAGAAGAAAAACATAGAATGGAGTACCTTATTGTGTGATAAAATCTATTGTAATTTGCAAATAATTACATATAATTGTAACTGAAAATCCTGAGTGTATTCACATATTTTTTATGGTTGGTCACACAGCCAGATGTTTAGATTGGACTTGGCATTTTTATCCATCTGTCAAGTGCTTCCCAAGGACCTGGGGTAGGCAGATGTTGTTTGATGGTGTTAAATATATAATTGCAGGATATATTTATTCCAATAAAACTACTTTTTGCAGTTGACTGATGATGATTTTATCAATGTTGATGGCTCCAGATGTTTTGGGATTACACCCAAGACACCTAATACTATGGGTACTATCTTTCTTTCTTTTGCCACAGTCAAATTACCTCTATTTGCAAGTCTTTATATTTTGTGATTTTTTTTCAGTTCTTTCTCTTCTGTTCTGCTGTCTCAGATACTATCCATTGACTAGAAACTGTGTTTTCCATTGTGCCATTGATCTTTGCACAAAGTTTCTGATATTTCTATTGACTCCTTATTTCTAGGCACTTGGTTATCCAATTGTTGAAAAATAAATCTTCATCAGGGTCCAGTCCAAGTCGGGAATAAACAAAATGGAGACTGCTTTAGAAAGAAGGTTCTTGTTTATTGAAGAGCAGAACCACAACAGCATGTGGCTCTGGGGCAGCTGACCACATGGTGCTGGGAGTGGTGGGTTTTTATACTTTCTTAGGCTTTTGTGTTTGGAGTTGTTCCTGTTCCTGTGGTATAAACTTTGATCTAAGCTTTTGAGCATATCCTTTTGGTATTCTGATGGTGGTGGGTTAATCCTATTATGTCCTAAAGGTCATGTCCTGCTTCTCTGGGGATGTGGCTGATGGCTATGTCCTGTGTTGGATTTTTGGGTGAGGAGTTGCTGGTTCTAATCTTATCACTCTGCTGTTGTTAGCTATCAAATCTTGCCCAAGGAATTTTGAAAGATCCTGTCTTGAATGGGCTTTCTGCTCATGAATGGGGCCTCAGTCTTTCTGAAAGGGATTATCAAATCTGCATTTCTACAGAGCTGGCTTGCTTAGTTTCTGCTTGGGGCTATTAAGAAAAACTGGGCCTGCTTTTCTACCTGTAAGATCCTTTGGGGAAATATAATATTCCCCAAAATATTTCCTTCGGGGGGGTGACTTCCCACACAAGGAAGGCAGGGAATCGAATGCCTTCTTGTAATCAGTCCAAGCTATATTCAAATTGATCTTTCTTTTCTTTCAGTTTTCCAAAATCATCTTATCAATCAGAGGCTGCTCTACTGTTTGGACAGTTTCCTTTCTGCTCAGGTGGAAAGAGCTTATTTTCAACTAGGTAGTGATTTGAAAATTCTTGGTAAGCAGGTAGTTAGATTGTTGTTACCTGGTGATACCCCTTTTGTTGGATCTTTCTTGCCAAATAGGTTTTGCCAGCTGTTAGCCAATCTTTAGTTTTACCTTCTTGCAGTATGCTGTTAAACTGCTTGACAGTGAATATAGACATTCAGATGCCAAAATCCATGCAATTCATCTTTACCTGATATTGAATTTTATTTTTATATTTTTATTATTAATATATCTGTTGAGAAATGATTACTAAACATTTAAATAATTAGAGCACATAGGAAAAATGATTTTGCTTTAGCTCAGTTCTATCAGTTGAAACAAATTTTTACTTTTCCTGTGCAAGAAAACAAGATTCATTTTCATAAGAAAATTAAATTGCTCTGGATTAGCATTAACTTGGGATTTGATAAATTTGGAGTCTTGGGTAATATATAGATTTGTTTTCAATATTTTGAAAACTATTTCAAACTGAAAATTACTTTAAGACTGTATTCATAAATCAAGACTTAAGATTGTTAAATAAGTTGTATTTAAAAAATTAAGTAATAAACTTGTATTAAAAGTATAAGTTATGCAAATGATATTAATTTGCTTTTGGTGATTTTCTATTTACTTATCTTATTAAATTTATATGGCTGCCCAACTTACACATGGTGACTCTATCATGTGATATACACACTGTCACATGTTTATGTGGAACTCAAAATTGCATGGTTAATAAAAATAATACAGCACTACGCCAAATTCCTCACTACTGCAATGTGATCTGCCAATGCCTCATACAGAAAGTGTTAGTGGATGTGATGGTACAATGAGACTAGAGTTTTAGAGAAAATAATTGAACTGCTGAATGTTACACAAAATATTTTAGATGTAGGCTTCCCACAGTAGAACTCAACTCTTTGATATAATAATCTTCTCCACCTTATAAGGGCTTACCCATACATGAAGGTATTGTTTTTCTATGATTTCAGTTACAATACTGCATTTTGCATTAGCTCTCAGTTTTGTACATCAACCAAATTGCAGAATTCAAGATTTTATCAATATTATCTCCCTTTCTCCTTGCTGTTGTTAGAAGTAAGTCCTCATCCTGGTTCATCCAAGCCGGGAATAAATAAGCAAACATGGCGACTGCTTTGGGAAGAAGGTTACAGTTTATTGCAGAAGACAGATGGTCCTTGCAAGAAGCAGCAGAGGAGAAGAAAGAGAGGGAGCACATGGGCAGAAGGTCTTTTTATACCCTCTAGCCCTGCTTGGAATAGTTTCCTGTTCCTGTGGCATGAA